TCAGCTCGCCATTTCTTCCCCCTCCCTCCCCTGCCCACCTTCTCTCACAAAGCCTTGATAAGTTATAGACTATTATTTCCATATCACATTGTCCTCTGTTGCCCCTCACCCACTTTTTTGTTATTCATCCCCCTGGGAGGGGGTTATATATTGATCCTTGTGATTGATTCTCCCTTTCTCCCCCCACCCTCCCCTAATCCTCCTGGTATCTCTACTCTCATTGTTGGCTCTGAGGAGTTTATCTATCCTGGATTCCCTGTGTTTCAGGCTCTTATCTGTAGCGGTGTGCATGTTCTGGTCTAATCCAATTTGTAAGGTAGAATTGAGGTCATGATAGTGGTTGGGAGGAACCACCAAAGAACCAGAAGAAAGTTGTGTGTTTCATCAGAACTATACTGCACCCTGATTGGCTCATATCTTCCCTGTGATCCCTCTGTGAGGGATTGTCTAATTGTCAACAGATGGGCATTGGTCTCCACTCCATGCACTTCCACCCCCCATTCACATTTGGTATGATCTTGTTCTGGGTCTTGGATGCCTGATACCTGAACCCATCAACACTTCTTGATCACACAGGCTGGTGTGCTTCTTCCACGTGGGCTTTGTTGATTCTCAGCTAATCTTCAAGCCTTTTGAAGATTCTATATCTTTTGATAGCTGAGCACCATCAGCTTTCTTCACCACATTTGCTTATGCACCCATTTTGTCTTCAGCAATCGTGTCATGAAGGTGAGCATCACAGAGTCAAGGCCCAAAGTCCATCTGCAACCTTAATTCTTAACATATAGATATGAATACATAGTTCTGTTCCCCTCTAGTTATATATATATTTACATATGTACATGCCTGTATTTAGGCCTCTATAAATGTCCTTTGCCTCCTGGTTCTTTCCGCTATTTCCTTTTACTTTCCTCTTGTCCCACCATCATGTTTGGCCTTCATTTGGGTTTAGTACGTCCTCGCTGCTACATTGCCCTTGATTAAGCGCCACCAGGCATCCTACACTTTTCTTTCTATTGATTTTAGTTCACTTGTTGTTCCCCCCTCCTCCTTTTAAAAAGTTTTTTAATTAAAAAGAAATGTATGCCTCTTAACCGTGTGCATTGTTCTTGGGAGACTTAGAAAGGCTACGGCACTGCCATCAAGTCAATTCTGACTCAGCAACCTTCAAGGATGGGATAGTATTTCCAAGATTGCACGTTTTTATGGGAGTAGAAAGCCTCAATTTTCTGCCATGGAGAAAAATGCCAGCAGGGGGTGTTGAACTATGGACCTTGTGGTTGGCAGCCCAGCATGTAACTCCCTACACCACCAGGGCTCTCATTCAGTGTTCAAGGTATACAGTTACCCTTGCAAAATCCCTTCTGTGGACACAGAGTGGGTGGCAATACTCATAGGTCCAATGTAGCCAGTTTTCATTGGTCCTTTCCTTAAACAAACAGTGCTTCTGTGGTTGAGCATCCAGTGGAGCATGGTTTGCCTTCAGAGAGTCATAACAAAATGCATATTCTGAACCGTTAAATAGAAGATTCCCCCAGTGAATCCCAGGGTCAGATGCTCATGCTATAAGTCACCCTCGGGACCAAGTCCTGCTGAGGAAATAAGTGTGCAGGCCCCTTTTGTGAACCAAGGAGATGGCCAGAATGACCATCCCTGTTGAAATGTGGTTTTATTTCTCTCCTTCCCCTAATGTAGAGTTCAATGCATAGAGGCTCAATGGAAGTCTTAGATGACTCCACCGAAGTTCCTCTGTACAGTCAAAGGAAGTCACGCTTGTATTTCTAATCCATTTTTCCCACTGACTATGATGGTTTTTAAGGATCCTTGATGGCACTGTGGGTTAGGCATTGGGTTGATAACTAAAAGGTCAGAGGTTCAAACCCACCTAGCTACTAAACAGGAGAAAGAGGAGGTTGCCAGTTCCAATAAATATTTGCAGTCTCAGAAACCCTGAGTAGGGTTACCATAGGATGGAATTGACTCAGTGGCAGTCAGTTTAAACTCTAAATTGTTCTCTGACCTGCTTGATCAGAAAAAACAGTAATTCAAATCCACAGGAGAGAGATGTTGCAGTCTGCTTCTAGAAAGAGGACAGTCTTGGAAATCCGATGGGGGCAGTTCTATACTGTCGCATTGAGTTTCTCAACCGCAATGGGTTTATCAGTCCCAGAAAAATAGCTCCCACCTCCAATCCCATGGACCCATGACAGGTACCATCTTACAGATAGCTCCAGACCTCTGCTCAAATCTCAATTTCCCCAATTCTAAAGTATCCCTTTCAACCAAAGATAGAATACCTGAGATCAAATCTAAACCACAGAGCTGCTAGTTTTAAAAAGAGCTAGCTTCTAGCAAAGCTGGGCACAGCTCTGCAGAGGATCAACTTACACAAAGCAATGACTGGGACTGAGCTGGTGCCATCTCCCAGCCATATTTGACATCGTCTCATTCAGAAGGGCTTAGTCAGCATCCAGTGCAGTTCCAGCTATGGTGAGGTGCTTCGTACGGAATGAATGACTGACCAGCCACCCTGGGAAAGCCTGTGTTAATTCATTTGGTGCTCTTGTCAGTCAAGCAAATTTCTGATGGGCAAGAAATATGAATTGAGAAGTAGATAAATTAGAATTAGAAGATAGGAACTTCAATCCCCATTTTTGTCATCAGATGTTTTGCTGACAGGACTTTATAGCGCCATTTTTCTTGTCTGTGAAGTTGCAAGAGGAAAAACCTGCAGACGTGCATTTCAAAAGTGAAAGAAAAGGACAGAACAGCGAAAGCCTTACTTGATTTGAACAGGGTGGAGGCGGGGAGTGAGAACATTTGCATCACCCCAGGAAGGTCCCTCTGGAATCTCGTAGCTGATTTTCCCAAGTATCAAATGAAAGTGCGTAGCTAAGCATGAGTAGATAAACACACGCCATGACTCACTGCCACGAGTCAGGCTGACTCACAGTGACTCCAGAGGCCAGGGGAGAGCTGCCTTTGTGAGGGTCTGAAACTCTGTTTACAGAGGACAAAGCCCCATCTCTCTCCCCCAAATGCTCAGTAACCACTTGTAAATGTGGCAGCCAATAATGAGGAGCAATAAGCTCTTGTGTTCAGTCAGAGCAGTCAGTGGCATGATTTAGTGATAAAGTGTTGTTGGTGGAAAACGCTGGGCACCTGGAACTTGAAGCATCCCCATGAGTTCGAATCCTCTTCCTTCCACATTACAGCTGGGAAACCAGGCCTTTGAACTGGTTTGGATTGTTTCAGTCATGCCTGATCAAGTGAGATCAGAACAGATCTAAATCTGGAAAATTTGGCTGATGCAGAGAAAACTGGAATGGGGAGTCAGAAGAGGTGTAGGGAGCTCTTTGAGGAGCTTGGGGTAGGAGACTGTGCCAGGACTGTGGAAAGCAACATACATTCAAAGTGGTATAATCGGCTGCCACCTTTGAGCTGGGCACCGTTGTTTCCAGCTCTGCCATTCAAGAGATTTGCTTGCTATGCAATACACATTCTCCCCCCACCCCCCACCCCTTTTTTCCCAAGAGAGAGACTGCATTTCGATCAGAGCACTGCTCCATCATTTTTCTCATTTGGGTTTCCATTGCGGTTCACCTGCATTTTATAAATTCAGTTCTGTTCCACTTTCTCTTCCTTAGCCATGACTGGTCTTGGACTTACACAAGAAGTCCCGTGTAAAAATGAGTCATTCATTGAAGCTCTCTGATGCCCAACCTCACTGGCCTGCTGGTACTTCGGGGGTGAAGTTCCAACAAGATTAGCATGCCTGTGACTTCTGTTCCTAACAATCTGTCATTCTCCCATCTTTCTCAGGCAGGAGACATGACAGCATTAGAAAGGTCGTGAACCTTCTGACCACTAAGCAGACAACAAGCCCCAACCCCCTCAATCCGACCATACCTTAGAAGGTAGACCAGAGTTGCCAGTGGTTTGGGGTCTGGAGCCTGACTGTCTAGGTTCATCATTCCACTTCTGACTTGGGACAAACTGCTTTCTTTCCTGTGCTTCAGCCTCTTCATCTGCAACATGCACCCCACGGGGGTGATAATAAAGAGGAACCGTTTGTTATCTGTTAATAATGTACACGAACAACTCAGAGCTGTGCCTGATTCATAGAAAAACGCTCAATAAATATCAATCTATTTCTATGTCTGACTCTTTATTCAAAGAGATTTGAGACATTCCAAAATGCTGAAAGACCACACCCTCCCTCCCCCAGCATAAGGTCTAAAGCATTGTCATTCCAGTGGGAGCCCTGCTATACCTTCCCCAATCACATTCATCGGTATTTGTCATTCCCGTGCATCTCTCTGGACTTTTACCCCATCAGTCTAAATCTCTGACAGTGAGACTGAATGGAAATCAGCTACAACCAGGACCGCTGTGCTCCTCTTGAAGGGGCCTAACATAACATGAAGTCCCTGGGTGATGCACACATTAATATGCGAGGCAGCTCTATGGAAGACCGGAGCTTCAAGTCTACCCACAGATGCCTCTGAAGAAAGGCCTGGCGACCTGCTTCCAAAGCCTCGGCCCTCGGCAGGCTTCTGCAGCACAGTTCTGCTCTGACACACACAGGGCCCCGGAGTCTCAATGGGCTGCGTGGCAACTGGGGAGGCATAGTAGCTCATCAAGCACAAAATGGCATTTTGTGAGCAAACCCTCATGCGCCACATTGTTACCGGTGTCTTTTCACCTTCCTATGCTAGCAAAGCCCTCCTATTTCCAAGGTGACCTGTTTAATGATTGAAGACTTCAATTAAAAAGCAAACAACCTCACCACCAACAAGTCCATTTGCAGAGCAGACAGCCTCATCTTTTCCCTGCCGAGTGACTTGTGCCTTTGAACCACTGACCTTATGGCTAGTAATCAAAAAGCCTAATCCACAGCTCCACGGGAGCTCTTTGATTAGCTTTCCTACTCATGGGTCTCTGTTTGTCAGACCATTCACCCCACTATTTGCTGACACCAACCCCCTTTTCTCTTCCAGACAGAGATGCGGCTGCAGGACCAGCAGTTGGCAAGACAGCTCATGCGCCTGCGCAGTGACATTAACAAGCTAAAGATTGAGCAGACCTGCCACCTCCACAGGAGAATGCTCAATGATGCTACCTATGAGCTGGAGGAGAGGGACGAGCTGTCCGACCTCATCTGTGACTCCCCTCTCACCTCCTACTTCAGCCTCTCCACCCCACTCAAGCTCATCGGTGTCACCAAGATGAACATCAACTCCAGAAGATTCTCTCTCTGCTGAGAAAGCCTGCAGGTGGGCAGTGGAGTGGTACTGGGGTCTCCCCAGAGCCAGGGCACACCTTGAACAGATCTGCCGTGCTTCTCCAAGACCCACCCCCAGGACCTGTTGGAAGGTGTTCTCTCAGGGGCCCCAGCTGGGGAAACCCAGCAGCCCCATAACTGGCCCTTCATTTAACACCCACAGATTCCACGGAAGGGTCACTATCGCCAGAAGGGAGATGAGAACTGGGGTCCCAGTACAATCCATAGCAGTCCTGTCCTCAGGCTGGGATCCCAAAAGGAGGGGTTCCCAGGAGAAGGTCTCCCAGTGGCATGGAGCTCCCAGAGGGGAAGGTGGCTAGATATGTTGGATATGTGCACCATGTTGATGTCCTCTAAGGCTACAGTTGACCTTCAATGGATGACTCAGCAGTCTTGATGGGGACACACTGGGGGAGAAACCCAAAGGCATCACACTGTGAAGCTTGGGCCACAGGTGCCCCAGCCTGGCAGCCAGTACCCCTGGAGAACACGCATCAGCCTTTGCTCTCACCATGACAAGGCCATTCCGTTTGTGTCTGTGTGGCTCAATACATGCAATGGGCACACACCCATGCAGGTGGGGCCAAATGAGCTATTTCAATCATAACTTCCAAAGAGCTTCCTTGCTGCCCCCTCCACAACCCGGAGAGTGCCTCGGAAACTCTTGGTGATAGAACCAGGCAGCATAATAAACAGATTTACCATAATTCTCCTCTGGGAGACAGCATCACCTACTTGACCTTACAGTTGCCTCCCTAGAGAATGACTGAGGGGGCCAGAGCTTGTCTTGAGCCTCCTCGGAGATTCTGTGCCTGACCGGACAACTGACTTCAGTTGACCTGTCTGTTGCTAACTTGTAAATATCTGTTTACCACCACCACCATGCCTCCCCTCCCCCCAGCCCCAGAGAGAAAACGTTTGGGTAGGTCAAGTGCAGAGCCCACGTATTTGACCTTAAGAGACTTTCCCTAACAACAAGTTGAAAACTGAAACCTCAACAGGTTAGGAAAATTAATACCATTAATGGTGAGTGGTTGATGTCACACCATATGGTCCTCCACCCACCTAGTCCAATTGTAAAATCATGGGGGCAGTTTTAATCATAGATGCCACCTAGTCTTGCCCTCCCATTCAAAAAAGGAGTTAGCGGAAACCCAGAGAAGGAAACTGAGTTCCTTTAAATCACACAGTTATTCAGCAGCTGTAGGACAGTGATGTGTTTAATCATGACTAATCAAACCCCAAAGATGGCTGCACTGCTTTGCTAACCCTGCCAATGGCCACATCCCCGACTCTCAACCTACTCAGCCTCACTCACCCTCCCACCTTGAAATTCAAATACTCAGGTCAAACCCGTGCAGGGTCTGGACAGTGGACCTACAGGACATGTAGTGGCCTCGCAGGACAGGCATCCCCATCGATAGTCCAAGTTCAGCGTCCTGCTTCCCCAGCTTCATAGCTAGTCCTTTCATACACACACACACACACACACACACACACACACACCTGGGAGATGTTGCTGTTCTTTGGTGAGCTGAGTGTGGGAGGATGCAAATAAATAGTCCCTAGTTAGACAGAAAGCAACTTGGTCATTTCTGGGTGGTTCCAAAGGGGTGGATGCTTCCTCAAAGAAGGTCAAACAACATAGTAAGATGTTTTCTTGCTCTAATCTGAGTAAGAAGAGATGTCTGAGGCCCAAAGGGCCCCATTTAGAGGACCACAGTGGAGAGGCATGTTCTCTGACCATGCAGGAAGGGAGGGAGGCAAGTCTCTCCTCAGGGACGATGCACAAGCGCTGCCAAGCCTGAAAGAAGCATTCCTCCCAGAATTCTTCACGAACACACCCTTGAGGCAGCATGGTGTCATTGCCCGAGTCTGCCTGCACTTACCCACGCACATGCAAAGAACATACAGTAAACATTGAACCCATTTTACAGAATTTTTAAATCACTTACTATAGTAAAAGATGAGTGGTTGACTTGCCCAGTTAGTCTAATGTTCCTGTCTTTGTTTTTAGAGAGGAGATTAAGATCAAGACATGGTGATTTTTCTTAGTCCAGCCCAAGTGAATTCTATTTGGGATAAGGAGGGCAAAGAGGAGGGGGCAAAGACAGGGAAGCTTTCTTGCAGTACATTGTTAGTGCTCTTACTTTCCACAACTTCCCGAACTAGGAACCTTGTTCAGCCTCGGGGGTCACTGCTTTGTAAGGGCCGATGCCTATGGGTCTCAGCCACGCCAGCCTAACCTGACCGGCTGCCCAGGGCAGCGTCCTGGCTTCCATTGTGTATACAATGCGGTTTGTAGCTCTGGTCATCATCAAGCCACCTCTCCACCGGCCCCAAGTATGCCCTGGGCGCACCCTATGACATCCCTGTGGGCACTGCCGTGTGTGGTGACGTCAGATGCCTTCGTAAGTCCAGTAGCAATCACTAAAGCCGGGGCAGGCGTGGCGACATCTCACCCAGGCTGAGCGAGGCCTCCTCCCTGTGTCTTCTAGCAATACCAAGTGCTATTACATAGTTTATGGACAATTTATAATTGTATTTTTATGAGTATGTGTTTCTATATTGCTGGTAGAACAAAGTGAAATAAAATGCATTTCAAAAGATACCCATCTAATGAGGAAAAATGTGCATGATGTCATCTGTCTCTGTTACAGCTCCCGTAGCAGGCACCGGCCCTGAATAGTGAGGGAGGCATGGCGGGGGCGGGGTGGAGGGGATAAGAAAGGAGGAAGAGTAGCTCACTTGATGGAGGGGTTGGGAGTTGAATGGAGGTGTGTACGGTGGCCAGGAAAATAGTCACCAAAATCACTCTCCCTCTTTTCTGCCTCTTCCCAAAGGTGTTAACTCTTCAGTACGCTGAAGACAATTTGTGCTCCCAATAGGCTATCCTCTCGGAGCAGTGTACCTCAACAGGAAGAGTATGTGGGACTCCCTCAGGGGTGGGCTGCAAGTGCATGTTCCCAGGAAACCGCTCAGCCCTGGCTGCAGGATCTGTCTCTTTTGACCTGGATTAGGCCTGAGAACCCACTTTAATAAACACACCGCAGGATTCTGCTGCAGGCCAGACACTTAAGATAGGGCGAAAGAACATCCAGCCCAAAAGGCATATAAGGCCAATGAAATCATTAATACCAGCTACCCCCAGTCACCTCACCAAAGAGAAGCATTCCAGCCATCACATTAGGGGTGAGCTAATCAAATGCTTGACCCATATGGCCCATGAATGAGGTTATCCATAGCCAATTGGCCCTCAGCAGAAAAAATGTTCCCCACCCCTGGAGAAGGAGGGTAAGTTGATCCTATTTCAGTGTTTTCAAAAGAGGCAGTGATCGAAGGGGGTGTGCGTATCCCATTTACAGAACGAACAGGGGGAAGGAAGCTCTCTGGCAGTCCCATGGGGATTCTATCACCTGGCTGACCAAGGGAAAGGGGTATCATGAATGGTGAAGGGGAAAGTCAGCAGAAACGAGGGAGACCTGCCATGAGCTGGCTTGGTGTACCAGTCACCACATGGGCAAATATGCCCGTGATCATGAGAACGTGATCATGAGAACGGTGCTTGACTAGGCAATGTTTTGTTCTGTTACACATACCAAGCCTTTTTGGCATAGTGATTATGTGATGGGCTGCTAGCCACAAGGTCAGCAGTTCGAAACCATCACCTGCTCCGCAGGAGAAAGACAAGGCTTTCTTCTCCCATAAAGAGTGATAGTCTCAGAAATACAAAAGGGCAGTCCTGCCCTGTCCTATAGGATCATGGACTTGATGGCAGTAAGTTTTTAAAATGTTTATTATCCATATGGTCACCATGAGCCGGAACCACTAGATGGCAACTCACAAAATAAACCCAAGAGAAGGTGTGATTGTGACCTACTGTCCGCCAAGAACAGACAGTACAAATCTGGCCATTCATAGTGCGGGCCATGAGGTGCTGAGCCACGCAGATATGCCAGCAGTGGTCTCCACCACCCACCACCGACCACCTGGTTCAAAGGGGAGTCATGACACCACTTGGCCCTTGCACTCGGGAAGACAGGACTGCACAAACACTTTTCAGTACATTGGGAAGCTACAGGGATTTTTGGTGTGATAACCAAGGAGGAGGGGAGAGCTGGTCCCATGTGGGATGTTCCCACACTGTGGCGCACACTGAGACATTCTTTGAAGGTAAAGTGAGCAGCCCTTACTGGTAACTTGGATGTAGAGTGAGAAGGAACTAGAGACGTTAAGGGTGCCCTGTGGGCCAGCAAGTGGAAGGAGGGTGATGATATTGACTGAGATAGAGAACCCTGGAGGGAGCATTGCTGGGGGGGTGGGGACAGGCAGCCTTAATAGCTGTGTTTCAGCCATGTTGTCATCACATGTCAATCACACACTCAAGGGGAGAGTAGGCCATGGAGAGTAGGAGACGAGAATTTCAAAGCTAAACCCAAGTTGGAGATAAAAGTTTGAGCGTCATCACTGGGAGATATTTAAAGCACTGCAACTGGATGGATTCATCTGAAAGGAACTATAGATATGGAAGAGAAGAGGGGTAAGTGCTACACCCCAGGAACCCCAAGATCTAGAGATCTGAAAGCGAGAGAGGAACTGTCAGAGAAGACATAAGCGGAACAGTAGGAAGGTGGAAGGGAGACCAGGAAAATGGGGCATTAGAGAACCGTAAAGAAGAAGATGTACCAAGAAAGGCGGGTGTTAACATCAATGTCGACTGAGAAATCAAATAAGTCGAGAATTCAACTTCAGCTTCCGCAGGATGGCGGCCTCTGGGTGACTGTGGCCGGACCCTTTCAGGGCAGTGGTTGGGACAAAAGCCCAACAAGTGGATGAGGAGAAACTCGGGAGTGAAGAAACAGACACAGCAAGCAGAGACAACACGTTCTCGTTGATTTGCTCCCCCGAGGGCAAGGAAATAGGGCCAGGTGCTGGAAGAGGACATACGTCAAGGGACCGGGCTGTTTCATTTAACAACGTGTGGTAAAGGTGAGGACAGGTCATCTGGAGCCAGCGAGTCGTTGATGCCCTGTGAGGAGAGGACAATGCCGGTGCGGCAGTGACGTTCCTGGATGAGGGCCCAGGAGCCCGAGTGTAATGTAAGTGTGGGGATCCGAGAGGAAGAGGAACACTTCTTCTCTGGAACAAGAGGGAAGGCAGGGCGAGGTGCTGAAGACGAGGAGCTTAGCGGACTCCGTAGTGGGGGAAGGAGGCATGTCCCATTAGGGGGTTCCTGTTTTCTCTATGAAAGATGAGGGTGAGCTGAAGGGAGGTGTAGTGTTGGAGAGCTGATGAGAGAGGAGTTCTGAAATAACTCTCTCTGAGCATGAGCCAGTTAACTTATCAGTAAGGCGCGGTGGAATCACCTGGCAGCGCCAGTGTCCGTTGAAGGCCAGTGGAGACAAGTCTGCGATAAAGCCAGTGCACATGGCTCAGTGCTGTTTCTGATTGGCTGGTTGGTTTCCCCAGCAGTATGTCACTGTTCCAGTGCAGGTGTAGACCAAGCACCTGTGGGGAGAGGAGATGTGCCAGGCGGATACGATGGGGTAAGGGAAGAGCAAATGCTAAAGGTGTTTTCCAGAGGCGCAGTCATGGTGCTGAACTCAAGAGGCCAAGCTGGGAATGGAGAGAGGGGAGGACGCATGTGTGTGTGTGGGGGGGGGGAGTGGAGAGGGTAGGGGGGGGGGCAGTGTTTAAACTAGACGATAGTGCTAAAGTACTTGGCCTAAGACTTGGAGGCCCCAGAGAGATCAGAGAAGTGTTCGCGGGCAGAAGGTGAGAATCAGAGGGAGTAAACACTGGCACCTGGGAGCTGAAGCGGCTTCTCCAGGTAGGGACGTGGCTGCTGGATTAGCTTTCAGTGAACCCAGCTTTGTGTGGGCCTGGCCTGGCCAGTGACTCTCATCTGAATTGTGGCTTTGAGAGTCTCCCAAATTGGCACCATTTTCTTCTTTGGGCAGGAGATTTGAACTCTGTTTATGCATGTCCCCTTTTGGTTTTCTAACCAGAACCGAAGCATTTCCCCCTTCTGAATTCCCCGCACCAAAGCCCTGGAGTCGGTGGTCTTGCTGGCTTGGGGAAGAAAGCTGTGTGATTGTGCTAGAGGAGAGAGACGGTCGTGTGAGCTGCAGCCGACCGGCCAACACAAACAGACCTCTCATAACCAGAGTCTATCTGATGGGAATTGCTCAGGCAGCTTGGAGGTTTCAGGCTTGGCTATTTATAAAGAACATGTCCACAGGCTCCGAGCAAACAGGCACGAAGACAGCTAGGCGGTCTTCAAAGGACAGTGATTCAGGAAGAGAAACCATCAGAATGCTTTGAGGGCACCACAATGCTTTGTGGTCGCCCACATTCGCTAGGAGAGGGTGTCTGCTTGGGAACACACCCTCTGCTGTGGGGAAGGATGGGTACTAGGGGAGTGTAGGCACCCCTGGGCAACAAACCAGGGAGACCAGGGTCAGTGTGGCAGGACCAGCATGTCTCTTCTGAGCCATTTTACTCCGCAGAACGATCCCAATTCATTCTTCTTCCCGCTACTGCAAGTTAGGGAGACGGAAGTCCTGGGAGGGTAATGATAAGAAAGATGAGAACCTCCATTGGTGCGGTCAGTCTCTTCCTGTTTGTTCCTGGTAGGCATGATAACGCATCATAAAATGTATTGATATATAGGGGTAGAGCCAATGGGAACCCCAGCTTTGTCCCCAAAGACACTGCTGGCTGCGCTAGCTGGTTCTTTCTGCAGGAGGCTGCAGGGGCATGTCACTGCCCTCTCCGAGGGGGGCCTTTGGCATCCATCTATTGCCCAGACTGTAGCCTTTTGATAAAAGGTTGAGAGTTGCTGCCAGTCTGCTCTGGGCTCTGCTCCCGTTGACACTTGTAGAACGACAGAAGCCCTAGTCAGACTCACCGCAGTGTGGAAAACAGCATGTGGGGAGAAATAGGGGAGGGAAGTGGGGGCAGTGCCAAGACAGACAGCACACGAAAATGCATCAGGGGAAAAGGGCTCTTTTCTCAAGTGGAGTGGCACCCATGTGAGCACAGGAAATGGCCTTCCCTCCCTGCCACGACTTGTCTTTCACGGTCTCTGGCTGGTGAAGCAGCAGCTCATCTAACCCGCAGCCATCAGCAGGAGGCGTGGAGCCCAGACTCTGCCCCACCACGGAGCACGTTGACCGAAGCCAAAGTCATCCTTGCATTCATGATGGCCAATTTCACACCACAGTCCCGCACGAAGAAGGGGCTGGCCTTCAGTCCCCGATTCCCCCTCCGGTGGCACCTTGGCCAGGGCCCCTTCTACAAGCAAGCTCAAGGAGGCCCTGCCTCCAGGGACCAAAGCTCAGCCCACAGAAGGCAAGCTGCTCTCCCCGTGTGGCCTGAAAGAGGGGCTGGGAGGAGGGCCTATTGCCTGCTTCCTGTAAGACACAATGGGGTGCAGAGCATGATCACCAGCATCCCATCCCCTTCATCTCAGCCAGCCACCGGGGCACGCCGCTCCTTTCTCCAGAAGGGAAGACAAGGCAGAACGAACCACCGGGGAAAGGCTCAGGGCGCTTGGCGAGGGAGATCTTGATTTGTTTGTTTGGGTTTTTTTTCTCGAAGCAGGAGAAGTTTCTCTTTAAAACTTTCCAGCC